CATCACCATTAAGGAAAACTCCAATGAATTTTAACCTCCCACTGGTAGAAGTGTACCCTTCGCTTTGGCGAACAAGGTTTCGACGAACAGTGGTTTGATTAAAACCATGGTGATGGAAGGCATACGTGACTTAATATACTTAGTTGAGGGGTTTGTTATTTAATGTCTCATCAGATTATTATCTTTGTTAGAATGACATTGTTTGGCATGTTATTCAACATTCAACCTTAGCATGCATTCTAAACAAAATATTAAACGTGCCGGTACATGGCCTAACTAAAACCGATCTCCTCGAGCCTAGAGGGATCGGTGGGTCACCTAGGGATCCTGTAACAAATATCTTGAGTCTTCAAGTATGGTTGCCTCGTCCTTCGCTCCGTCTCCAGGTACATTACAAAAACATCATTCTAAATTTACAATAAAATTAATATTAAACTAATTTTACATCAACAAATTTAGAAACCTCGATTTACATTCGAGGGGAATGAGATGAGAAAAGAATGTACATTAAGAAGAAGAGAGAAGGCAGGACACGCAGGCCCTATTTAAAATATTACAGCCATACATACCCAAAATAATTTAAAACATTCACCCTTAGGTCTAAGGCTCATGTACCGCGCACCATGCAATATACAAACAAGTACAAAGCATACATTTCAAAAACAATCAATTTTTGAATTGGGTGGGTTAATTAATTAATTACCCTCTTAAATGTGCAGAATGTACATTGGCTTTATAGGTTATTAAAACTGCAGATTAGTCCCTTTCAGGAAAAAAAAAAAAAGAATGGGAAAACTACATCCTTCGCCGCGGCGAAGGTTTTATCTTCGCCGCGGCGAGGATTTACAGTATGCATTTCGCTCTGGCATACTTCGCCGCGGCGAAGGTTTTATCTTCGCCGCGGCGAGGATTTAAATTAGGTCTAGCCGCCACAGATTTCGCCGCGGCGAAGGTTTTATCTTCGCCGCGGCGAAACTGTCCAGAGGCTCCTCGCCGCGGCGAAGCTAAAGCTTCGCCGCGGCGAAACCTGGAAATCCCCAATTCCTACAGTTCGCGTTTTTGCAGTTTTTTGTGTATAAACACTAATCCAAATCAAATCAAACGCACACGCGTTCAACCAGGATATTAACCAACCAATATAACATTCATCAACACATTTTAAACCAGTTTATCATTTGAATCATTCATGCATAAACTGATTTTTCAGATTTTACAGATTTTTCAAAAACTGGGTTTTTCATGGCAGATTCATCAAGGCAGCATGTTATCAACAAATACATGTATCAACCATTCAATAACTGTAAATCTAGTACCCTAAGGCTCTGATACCACTGTTAGGAAACGACCCGGTTGCGCAGCGGAAAACAAAAATTTTACAACTACGGATCGTTCCTTAGAACCCAAAATCAGGGCATAGATTTTACAGTTTATGCATAATATGAATCTGCAGAAAAATAAATCCAAAGGTTTAGATTTATACCCACGTTTGGAGGCTCCACCAATGTTGTCTCTGAATGTGTTTGCTACCGATCCAAGTGTAGGATCGAACCAAGAAGTCCACACGAAGACAACCACCAAGAACCAAGGAGGGATTTGCTAGATCCTCCTTGGCCTTAAGAAATCAAGAAGAAGATCAGTATTTGATTTTTCAATCAAACAGTGAGATTGGCGTGAGAGAGTGTATAAGGGGCTGCTGTGTTTTCTTTTAAAAATTAAAGAATGAATCACACACTATTCTTTTTATAGGCAAACCAAGTTGCCCTATTCCCACATGGAATGGGCTTGGGCTCCAACCCAAACACCCCATGTTGCCAAACACTCCCAATTTGATATTTTAATTTAATTCATCATTATCTTAATTAAAATCAATTAATATTTAATTAACATTTAACAATAATGATGATTTAATTAAATATGTGCGAACACACATTTAACCGTAATTTCACTTATTTAATTTTTTAACAAATTAAATAATAGGCTACGACCTCAGCAAATTTAATTGCACTGTGAAATTACCAAAATACCCTTTTGCCTAAAAAGACGAAAACGCCCTTCTTTCTTCTTGGCTCTTAAATTATCTTCTATGTGTGTGACCCATAGGCTCCTCATCATACCGGTAGTGTATAGTATCGCGATTAACACCAATTAATCGTCTCACTAATACACAGACCAAGATTGGCCCCTAGCAAGGCATCATGGCCACCCGATAGATTCGGATTCAGCAAAGTAGCTACCTGTCAACGATATGGTTACCGTACAATACGATCCTTTCATCATACGTTATCTCGACGAGACGAAGGCATAGAAATAGTGTCAACCTTCGGTTACTCTCGATATTATATATTCAGTTTCTGGACCAATGACCCGTATTATAATCTGGATAGAGCAACAACTCAATCCCACTGTGGCCACAGTTTTAGTGTCATTGCCATATACTGAATTGCGCCGTGAGATAACTTCTCCCGTACCCGGGAGTGATGAATCCTTTGTCAATCCACCATAGTCTTGATACACTCCTTGATATAGCCAATCACCACCGTACTGACAGCTCTGAATAGAACTGCGTTAGGCTAGTGTCAAACTGTACCAATCGGTGCACAAGGCACTCCGGTGATCTCAAGTCTAAGGATCACATGCACCACCATTCGTTAGAGGATTTGTTCCATAGACACTGGGGTTACCATCCATATGGAATCCTCTGGTGGGTCAGTCCAGTGAACTTGCTGCGGTATATCCGCCTACAACAAGCACCCATGTGTTGCACCAGGTTGTCACCAAACAACCTTGACAAGTGAGATCAGTCACTGCCTTTCGACAGGGTCGTTCAACACTATGATAGCCTTACCGTATTATCTGTGCCCTTACTTCAGAATAATACTAGGGCTACAGACGTTTCTAGAATGGCCACCATATGTGCTCATAGGGTTCTCACTATCAAGATTTGAAACACTTGATACCCTCGTCACGGTTCTACCATTCTAAGGACTGTCAGAGTAGATGCCCTAGAGCCAATCAATTATTGTGGAATTGACTCTTTGTAATAATGTTCATTAATCAATAATAAAAGGCATTTTATTCTATATCACGTAAATCATTATTATTGCAATATGTATTGATATATGGATGGTAACCCCAGTATCTATGGAACAAACCCTCTAACGAATGGTGGTGCATGTGATCCTTAGACTTGAGATCACCAGAGCGCCTTGTGCACCGATTGGTACAGTTTGACAGTAGCCTAACACAGTTCTTTTCAGAGCTGTCAATACGGTGGTAATTGACTGCATCAAGGAGTGTATCAAGACTATGGTGGATTAACAGAGGATTCATCACTCCCGGGTATGGGAGAAGTTACCTCACGGCACAATTAAATATATAGCAGTGACACTAAAACTGTGGCCACAGTGGGATTGAGTTGTTGCTCTATCCAGTTTATAATACGGGTCATTGGTCCAGGGACTGAATACATAATATCGAGAGTAACCGAAGGTTGACACTATTTATATGCCTTCGTCTCGTCGAGATAACGTATGATGAAAGGATCGAATTGCACGATAACCATATCGTTGATAGGTAGCTACTTTGCTAAATCCGAATCTATCGGGTGGCCATGATGCCTTGCTAGGGGCCAATCTTGGTCTGTGTATTAGTGAGACGATTAATTGGTTTTAATCACGATACTATACACTGCCAATATGATGAGGAGTCTATGGGTCACACACATAGAAGATAATTTAAGATCCAAGAAGAAAGAAGGGTGTTTTCGTCTTTTTAGGCGAAATGGTATTTTGGTAATTTCACAGTGTAATTAAATTTGTTGAGGTCGTAGCCTTTATTTAATTTATTTATTAGAAAAATTAAATAAGTGAAATTACGCTTAAATATATGTTTGCATATATTTAATTAAATCATCATTATTGTTAAATGTTATATATATATATATATTAATTGAGTTTAATTGAGATAATGATGAAATTAATAAAATACCTAATTAGGGGGTGTTTGGGTTGGAGCCCAAACATATTCCATATGGGAATAGGGCATTAAGGTTTTACCATAAAAGAAAAGTTAAATGTAAAAATTATAAGTTTTTTATTTAGTTGAATTTTCTTTGTGAAACCAAAACACACAGCAGCCCCACCTTCACTTTTTTTTTGGATAAGGTAAGTATGTATAAAAGACCAAAAATGTACAAATACGAGGGGCATACCCCAAGAGGATGACTGATAACTTTCAGTCAAAAACCCGTGGGAAAACCCACAAAGTCACAAACAGCATAAAGAGAGCACGCAGGCTCCCCACAAAGCAAGAAGATGCCATAAATAACAAGCCACAAACCGGCATAAAAGAGCACGCAGGCTCACCACAAACACAAAGCCACAAACCGGCACAAAAGAGCACGCAGGCTCCTTACAAAGCTAATCAGGAAGATGCCATATCCCACGGAGCTGAGTCGAGATCTCGTACTTAGGTGCTAGACCCAAAATCTTGGCCCGAATTAGATCACAAATAGCTAAGACAATATCTCTGCGAGAGCTACAATGCTAACGAAACACGCGATTATTCCGTTCAAACCATAGGAAATAAACTGTGGCTGAAAGGACCAACCGGGAAAGAAGGTGGTTGAAGTCACCTTTTCGTCAGAGATGCAAGCTAGCCCACTGAAGCAGAGGGAGCCAGGAGAGAGTAGGCCATGTAGAGAGCGTCCTGGTAGTGACCTCCCGTCAAACATAATTGGAAAAGTCACAGCTGAAAAACAAATGGTCATGGGTCTCTGTAGCTGATCTGCATAAAACACACCGGGAGGATGTAATGACACCATGAGAGCTGAGCCGGTCCATGGTGTGAAGCTGACCAAGAGAAGCGAGCCAGAGAATGAAAGAGTGACGTGGAATATGCCCGGGAAACCACAAGAGATGATGAATCGAGTTCACATCCCGTTTGTCTCGCAACACATTCCAGGATGAATCAATAGAGAAACGTCCAGACGGATGGCCCTTCTACACAAGATGATCAGGATGACTCGCTAAAGGCTGCACTGTAATAGAGTCCCAGATATGCTGAAGGTCTACACTGCCCGAAGGAAAGTCCCACAAACCATCCCGAATAATGTCTGAAACCCGAGCATCCCATGGCAAACCAGTGAAAGTCAAGGTTTTAAAAGGGAGCAAGTCACACAGAGGACCCTGCAGAAGCCAGTGATCTCGCCATAACGTGGTGTCCCTACCATCTCCAATACAAATCATAATAAGACCCCGGCACCAAACCCTGCCAAGTAAAATCTTCCTCCAAGCCCATGAAGCCCCAGAAGTAACTCGGATATGCCAAAAGGACCAACCACGGAGGAGAACCAAACAGGCCCAAGAAGACCATATAGAAGATCTATCAGTAAGTAGCCTCCAAACGTATTTGAGAATAGCCGCCCTATTCCAATCTTGGATCCTCTTAATCCCCAGGCCACCCTCCGTCAATGGATAGCAAACAGAAGACCATGCAACCTTAGCACCAGAAGGGGACAAAGAAGTACCCTTCCAAAGAAACGAAGCCAAAATACTCTCAATCCGTCTAACTGTAGCTGCCGGCAAAAGAAACATGGAGGACCAATAAACCTGTATGGAGAAAAGTACAGACTTAATCAACTGTAGTCGGCCTGCATAGGTCAAAGATGCCGACGTCCATAGCCTAATCCGAGAGAGAATTCGCTCCAACAGAGGCCTACAATCAGAATGTCGAAGGCGGGTAGAGATTAGAGGAACCCCTAGATATCTTACCGGTAACTGGCCCAACTGGAAACCCATGATAGACTGTAACCCAATATGCTCCTCATCTGTAACTCCAGAAAGAAACAACTGGCTCTTCTCTGCATTAGTCACTAATCCAGAAACCTTAGCAAAATAATCCAAGGCCAATTTGATCAAGCTAACAGAGGAAGCATCTGCTCTACAAAACACAATCAAATCATCCGCAAAACACAAATGAGTAATAGCTGCCCGCCTACATCTCCAATGATACTAAAAACTAGGGTTGTGAGAGGTTTCCCAAAAAATACCAGCTAACCCTCCATAGCCAACACAAAAAGGTAAGGAGAAAGAGGGTCCCCCTACCGCACACCCCGGGAGGACCTAAAAAAATCGTGAAGCTCTCCGTTCAGGGCAACAGAGAAATACGGTGTAGAGATACATGTCATGATCCACCTCACCATACGCTCAGGAAAACCCACAGTACGCAATCCCAAAAGGATGAAATCCCAACTCACAGTATCAAAAGCTTTCCGAATATCAACTTTAAGGGCACATCGAGGTGAAGTACCCCCAAGATGATAATTCCGCAAAAGCTCCTGAGTCAGCAAAATATTATCAGAAATCCTTCGACCCAAGACAAAAGCTGACTGGGAAACCCCAATAATATTCGGAAGCACAACTTTAAACCGATTCATAATCACCTTAGAAATGCACTTGTAAAGTACATTACAACAAGATATCGGCCTAAAGTCTGTCATACGACTTGGGCTCTCCACCTTGGGAACCAAAGCAATCCTGGTGGCATTAACACATCTTGGCATTTCATTAGTAGCAAAAAAATGTCTCACTGCATCCCTGAAATCTGTACCAATAATATCCCATGCCCGCTTAAAAAACAAAGATGTGAATCCATCTGGGCCGGGGGATTTATCATCCGGGATAGAGAATAAAGCAATCCTAATCTCATCATCAGTGATAGGAGCAGTCAATGGAGAAATCATATCAGGAGAAATGCGGCCAGAAAAATACCTGGAAGCCTCTGCAATCTGAGGGCGACTAGGGGCAGTAAGAAGATCCTGAAAAAAACCCACCGCCAAACGCCCTAATCCCTGACTGTCAGTAATATGTGTACCATGCCCATCAGTCAAACCGTGGATGCGGTTCCGAACCTGCCTATGGATCAACGACTTATGAAAGAACTTAGTATTCTGATCCCCTAAGTTCAACCACTGAACACGAGACCGCTGCTTAAAGAAAGCCTCCTCATCTCGACAAAGACTGAAATACTGGTTGGCAAGGTTCCTCTCCTCAGAGATACACTCAGTAGAAAAGGGGTCCCGATCCAAATTTCCCTGGGCTGCTGCCCACCGAGCCCGAGCCTCAAGTACCCTGCTGGAGATATGACTGGAAGCCCGAATATGTAAAGCTTTTAGCTTCCGTTTCACTAGCCCCAATTTCTGCGTAAGACGGAACATAGGATTGCCCACAAGAGGCTCGTCCCAGACTGCCTGAACAATATCCCTAAAACTTGCATGATCAGCCCAAAAATTTAGAAATTTAAAAGGGGATGGTACCTTGCCACGGCGGGGACCAAACCGGACGATAATAGAGCTGTGATCTGAAACATCTCGAGGTCGGAACTCTGAAACTGTGCTTGGTCGATCAAGGAACCAAGAAAGTGATGCAAAGACCCAATCGAGCTTTCGTAAAATAAACCCATCGCCCTGTTGACCGTTATGCCAAGTATACCGAAGCCCAGTAAAAGGAACCCCAATCAACTCAGCATCATGGATACATTGGCCAAAATCATCCATATAACCATACCACTCAGGATCACCACCCACTCTGTCAGAAGCTCCCAAGATGGCATTAAAATCACCCAACACAAGCCACGGGAGCCCCTCTGAATCAAACACTGCCGACTGATCCCTAAGGAAATCCCACAGATTGCGGCGATTCCCAGGGTCATTAGAACCATACACAAAAGTAATCCCAAATGAGAACCCCTCAGAAACATGAGTAACCCTGCAAGTAATCTCCTGAAGAGAGCAATGAAGACTATGCACAGAGTAAAGAGAAGAGTCCCAACATACCAGAACACGGCAAGCAATAGAATCTGTCGCATTCGATAAAAACTGCCACGAAGGACAAACAGACGAGACCACCGACTGTAAATGAGACTGCTCAACCTTAGTCTCCAACAAACCAATCAAACCCAAAGAAGAGTCAGAAATCCAATTCCGCACAGCGCGTTGTTTCGAGAAGCCGTTAAGGCCTTTAATATTCCAACTCCCTATCATTGGAATTGGGATAGAAACAAGCTAAGAAATCACTTGAGAGCTGAAGCCCCCGCTTTCCCTGACCTATCCCCTTTGCCAGCCCCACCTTCACTCTCCCACGGTAGATTCATTTTGCCTAGAAATCAATTTCATTGATTTTTCTTTTCTTCTTTATCTTGAAGCCAAAAAGGATCTAGCAAATCCCTCTTTGGTTCTTTTGAGATTGTCTTCGTGTGGACTACGTGGGTTCGATCCTACACTTGGATCAGTAGCAAAACGTTCAAAGACAATCGTGGTGGAGCCTCCAAACGTGCGTATGGTTTCTAAACACAGATTATTAATTTCTGCAGATTGCTTTAATATCAATTGTAAAATTATACACTTGATCTTGGCTCATGTAAACGATCCATATATATACCTTTTTTTTGTTTCCGCTGCGTATACGGAACCGTTTACTAACAAGGACATATATCAATACAGACAATGATGATTTATGCAATATAGTATAAAACGTCTTTTATTGATCAATGAACATTATTACAAAGAGTCAATTCTACAATAATTGATTGGCTCTAAGGCATCTACTCTAACACCAAGAAGCTTAACAGCTCGTGCTTAGAAGTGGCATCAACGAGCTAATCAATTCTGGACAAAGGAAAATTGTCCTTCGGACAGGTTTTGTTGAGATCCGTGAAATCAACACAAATTTGCCATTTATAGTTGGGTTTTTTCGCCAAAACAGGATTGGTGACCCAACTAGGGAGCTTCCCGAATGAACCCGATTGAAAGGAGCTTATCCACCTCAACCGTAAAAGCAGCATAACACTTTATGTCCATAGCTCTTCTCTTTTGGCGAACAGGTATAAATTCACTATTGATGTTGAGTGCTGACATATAACATTTGGGCTGATCTTGACCATGTCATCATGATTCCACACAAAAACACCTATACTCTGTCTGAGGAAGCTTGTTAAATCATTTGCAAGCTGAGGGCTGAGATTGCTTCCGATTCTCAACACATGAGTTGGCTCATTTTGGTTGACTGAAACCTCAAATAAATTCTCAACAGGCCCACCGTGGGAATACTCCTTCTGAACACGAGGACCAATACAGTCTTGCACTAGACCGAGATGTGGTTCAATCCTGCTGATCGTCATTGCCTACTTAGAAATGCCCATAGACCTCCATTTCCCTTTGCATGCCATTTACACTACCCTAACATAGCAATCGCGAGATTTACACTAAGACCCCTTGACTTCCCTACACCCTGTCGGAGTGAGAAATTTCATCTTCAAATGATAGATAGAGGTAACAGCATTAAAGTTCTATAGTAAAGGTCATCATAAGATGCCATTGAAAGCTAACGGACAATCTAATACCAGAAATTTTGTCATTTTAGTCTTCGTGGGTCTCACCCAAAGTGACAAGAAGCGCAATTGTTTCCCTGGGAATCAAATGATCCCCGATAAAGCCATAAAAGGGAATGGAGATAGACTTTAGATCTATCTTCTGTAACTACATTTCCTCAAATGCTCGCTGAAACAAGATGTTCACGATGCTCCCATTATCCACCAACATTCTATGGACTTTGCACCTTCCTATTTCAGATGTGATGACAAGTGCATTCTCATGAGGGTGATGCAATCGTACCACGTCTTTTTCAGAGAAGGTAATCTCTTCTTCTCTGTGCACCTTAGCAGGTCGCAACACCATATTCAAAACACTCACAAGCTCATGTCGAGCCTCTCAAGCGTACTTCTCTTGAGCACCTCGAGAGTTTCCCGCAATATGCGGTCCCCCAAAGGTAGTCCTCACCAAATGGAGACCTTTGCGACCACGACGCTTCCTTCCATCGCCTTCTTGATCCTTCTCCCGAGTGGGAGTTGGACCATCAATATACTCATTGAAGTGCTCCTTTTGAATGAGGTCTTAAATAGCTTGCTTAAGAGCTCGATATTCATCGGAATGGTGCTCATTATCCCGATGATAACGACAATACTTCTTGCTATTTCTTTTAAAAGCAGGATTTTTCATGGGCTTTGGCTCTCCAAGCAGATTAGCTTCTTCTGACTTGTCCAGAACAGCTAAGACCGATGCATTGGATGGAGTAAATAAATTTCAGTCGCTATCGAGACAAGAAACTTAGGCATAGGATTTCTTGGGCTCAAACCGTAGTTATTTTCCCTTCCTCTGATCGTCATTAGCCAATTTGCGTTCAGATCTTCTACTATTCTCTCCCTAGTTTTCCTCTCTTTGACTAGGAGCGCTAGTCAAAGGTGAAAAACCATGAAGAGGTGGCGGAAAAATGATGGAAAGCAGGTAAACAAGACATGCGAGCTAAGATATGGATTATAGGATTCAAAACTTTAAATAAAGCATAAATTAACATTATACCTTCTCCTTAAAGCTTAGGTTTGATGAAGCCAAGATTCAAAGCTGTGAACCCTCCACACTTTAACACCACCTTGAGAGAAAGAGAGGGTGGCTGAACCTAAGAGAGAACTTGTGTTTTTCTTTTGAGTGAACAATGAACAACTTGACCTAAAATGCAACCATTTGCATTTATATACACATGGGTCATTTTGTAATTCCTTCTTTTCACTTGTATACCCTAATAAAATCTTATTCTAAAAGGAACCCAAGCATTTATTAATTTGGCCTTTGAATAATCAATATTATTCAAGGGCCCATGTAAACTACACCAGTTTACATTAATAACCCGTAAGTTTATGCTTTTGCCCTTTAACTATTAAAAGGTTATTTTAGTTCATCTCATTTATCTTAACGCTATAAGATATAATAATTAAATACAATTAATTATTGTTTGACCATTTTAACCTTTAAAATGTCACGAATAATTTTCAACGTAACAATTACCATTGAAATTCCGTCATTACCCTCAGAAGGTGCTAGCCCTCTTCGGATAATCATTTCTCTCTCTTATCCATCTCTAACTTCTCAAGGCTATTGGTGTGACCATGTAGGTCCACCATGGATTAGCAGTTAGCTGGTTTCAGATGAATCAAGAAACTTGTCCAAAGGCCCAACGACTATGGTAAACATCTAGCAATGTGTCATCGTCCCTAAACCATGATGAAGAAATACTTCATCAAACCCTTTTCAAATCATATGTACCATGCAGGTAAAGTCCCTCTATTGATATATCCTAATCGAGTACGGATTCATGGAACGTCAAAATCCTAAACTTGATTTTCTACCGAATCATCGATCAATATGTCTAAAACTTATCATCACGAACTTACTTTCGAATGACTAATAATAGACTCTAGCTAGAGATTTTGATTTTTGACATTTATCGACGTTTGGCCAAGAACTCGAATCTGAATAGAGTCAGTGGTACTCATGATCCTATATTTCTGAGTCCATGGATCCCGTCTTGACCATCGTTCATTTCCACATATGAACAATCCATGACCAAATAGGCTTTATCATACGAAATATGACTAGTCTCATACTTATACACCGTATGAACCATACGCAACTATATTGGATCCGACCACAATGTCTCAGGTCAAAGGACTACATCATGCACTGATATAACCAAACAATAAATCATTAACTACATGCTTTTCCAAGTGATTTGTCATTATTTGGTCACGTTCAAAAAACAATTCACCAACCGCTAATCTAATGCCCCAGTGACATGACTATCATCGTCATCCATACTTATATCAACTCATGATATCTTTCGAAAGCATCTAGTATGCCTACTATGCAATATAGTTGCCAAAATTATATTGCTTCCATAGGGAACCTTTTGATAAATTCATTTACCGATTAAATGAATCATCTAGACAATTCATATACATACTTTATTTTAAATGCATGACTGAATAAAGGAAGCAATTTATATATATGAATTGAAGAACTCTTTCTTCTATTATTTATGATATATTGATACAAGACAAAATGCTTTGAAACCAACAACACGAATGGTTTCTAAGGCATACACGAACATTCACTAATTGAAGGACCGGGGTCGTAGCAATTTAAAGTAGCCACTGAATTCTCTATTCTAAGATATTTCTTTGTGAGGTTGTAGAAGCAAGTGAGGGAAATATCATCCTCGGATTACAGTTTCTTCCACAGGTCAGTTTGCGGGTGAACTCCAGCAATAATGAGCGTTTGAACTGAATCTTTGGGTGTATTAGTCACCTTATTCAGCTCCCTATGAAATCTATCAATAGAAGACTGGAGAGATTCATTCCTCTCTTGTCGTATGTTGCTGAGGTAGCTCAATGGCATTGAGAACTTATGATTGGCTTGAAAGTGTCTCAAGAATAACAAACTCATCTACTGCCATGAGTTGATAGACCTTGGTGGAGGCAATCTGAACCAATGTTTAGCGTGGGCAGTTAAAGTCACTGCTAAGCAGCGACCTTTTGCCAAGTTAGAAACTTGGTGAAGCTCCATGAGGTCATAAAACTCATAAATATGATCATGCGGATCAGAATTCCCATCAAATGCTCTCATGTCGGGCATTCTAAATCTTGATGAGAGAGGACCAGTCAAAATTGCTGGAGAAAAGAGAGGCGCCTCAACAACCTGCCCCTTCTCATTCTGTTGAGCTTTAATCTAATCTAAGGCTCGTTGTAACTCCTCTATCTAAGGAAGCAGAGCCATCTGAGGAACACTTTTTACAATGTGAGTGCGTTCTCCATGATTGCGATTAAGGAAAGACCGTAGATCGAACTCTTCCCTGCCTTGGTCGAAGCCTTTGACATACCTTTACACATGTTGGCTAGAGCCATGTGAAGGTACTGAATGGCTTAGGGAGTTCACCCGACCTCCGTGGTGGTCAGAACTGACCCTCGGATGGTGAGTATTTCCATCGCAGTGATGGTCGAAACCATCATTCCAACGATAATGGGAATCTCCTTGCCGAGCACTCTTGTGGGGGTGGCTTTGTGATGTAGCATGAGATGGCTGATGATGCGAAATACCACGTAGTTGCAAAGATACAGGTATTCTTCGTGTATCACGACCGATATTCACTAGCCCTTTAGAGCCCTTTGGCCCATTGTTTGCCATTTGTTTCCCTTATTTTTACGCACTATAGTGCGTGTGGTATGAGTTTTTGCCCGTTTCCACACTTTAGCGTGATCTATAAACCTTTTTGAAGGTGGCACCGCCTTATTAGAATTGGCAGTATGACCTAATCTAAACAATCTAACATTTGGTTAACCGTTTAAAGGGTGTTGTTGAACCTTTCCAGGTAATCCATTATAGCTGGATCTGGCTGAGAGATCAAAGGGATGCCTACCACAGTACTTTGGGGAACTGGAGGTACTTTAGGAGGAGTAACATCCTATACTCGAGGGGTCTCCTCGTTATTGGTGCTAGTACACTCGGTTTCAAGACCTTGAGCCATAAGTTCGCTAGTAGATCTGATTGATTAGAAATACTGGATGAAAAGCTGATGTGAAATTTGTGCCCTTCTTCCAGCGCCAAACTTTTGATGCTTGATTCTGATACCAACGACCTAAAACGTGAAAGTACTAAGAGAGTCTTAGAAATTATATGTGAATGATTGACTTTAGAGTTAAGATAAGGATAAAATGCTATTGAATGCAAAGACCGAATAATAAATAAGACAGAGGATTTTTATAGTAGTTCGAATGCTTAAAGTGATTCCTACATCCACTTTTTCTTTTATATAAGTGTGTTACAAGAGGTGGCATATAGCAAACAGTAAACAGAGGTACAATGACTATGTATTCAGAAAAAATATCAAGTTAGTCTCTTTCTCGTAGGTTGTCTTTGCTATTGAATATTGTGAAAATCAGAGAATGGTTGATCTCGAATTTATGAGGGGGAGTTCTCTATTTATAGCCGCTGAATTCAAGGTAATGATTCCAAATCTGCAAGTGGCTAGGTGTCGTGAAAGTCCTTCCTTGCCTCCCATTGGTTGATAACTTAGGAAATATCCTCAAATTATCTAGGGCTTAGACAGGTGTGCGGTCCCCATTCACTCATAGATAAAACTTGAATTTGCTGGGTTGGCGACAGTCATATCCTTTCTGTCTTGGGGTGACATGGCAGCTCCTAGATAGTGCAAAGCCTTCCTAACTCTGATTGGTGCTTGCTGATGTAAGCTTATGTTAGCCTTGATTTTTTAGGCATAACAAATGTCCTA